AAATAAATAAAGGTCATATAAATACAAATAATCAAACTTTTTGTTGGTGTACTTTTGTGAGTACTGCATTGAGATAACTATGTGCTGAAAATGTTTTGTAGCATCAAACTGACTAAACTGTTGACTATTCAAAGGCACAAATGGATTTACATTTTTTAAACTTCTGCATTTTTTCATAAATCTGCTTAAAACCATGACATTGCTGCTCTTCAGATTTCAGAGAAGCAGCTTATAAAGTTTTTGCTTTAATTCTTTTCACTAATAATTTCATATTTATATGTAATTAATACATATTGTTATTCTTCAAAATAAGGCATGTGAATTTAGTTATGATTATTTTTATAAGCACAGAGGGGCCCATGTTGTTTGCTGGGTAGTAATCTGGCAGTCTGGCAATACGGTAGTTTTTGTCTAGAGGCCTGTGTTTTGTCAACCTGCATAATTTTAAAATTCCAAGATGCAGAATTTGTGATGAAAGTTCATAAGGCAGAATTTCATTTTGCCTCATTAATCTGTGTGTTAACATCAGATTCTCTTGTTGGGTCTGATTAATCTCCCATTTTCAATATGTATGTTCCAGGTATTACTGTGTACATAGCTACCAGGCTTTGGCAGTACATTGGCATAGTTCAGACTCTGTTTTTAGCCAAATATACCTGCAAGAAGAATTTCTGGAGGTATCTCTACGCTGTCTAAATTCACTGTACAGCAGATGGCACTGGAAGAGCACATCAGTGGGAGATTTCAGTGATGCTATAATTCATACAGAACACTAGCAAAGCTGTTGCAGTGCTGAGGGTTGTGAAGAAGTTGAATAGCTTGTTTTAATGTATTCCTGGAAGGGGTGCATGCTCGGCTCTTCTGCTTCAGCTCTTCTAGATGTAGCCAGTAGAAAATTCTACACTTGCAAGTGTATGAGTGCGTCATGTTGAGGACTGGTTATACAGTACTTTTAAACACATTAATCCACAATGCAGAATTACTGTTACGTTTTTAAGTATGTGCAAATAAAGAAGAGTATATGGATCAATTAGTATTTTATTTCATGGTGTATTTGCTTTCTGCTGTCTTGGATAAATACGTGTATGAGGTATCATAAAGTAGAGTGGTTCTCATGCGGAAAACTTGTTTAGAGTTGTGCTCTCATTTGTAGGTGTGTTCAGTTTATTTTGCAGAGCTTTGGCTGCAGCCTGTCATTGACTAGATTTTTATCATCTTTTCCTGGATGAATGAGCTGGACTTTTAGATATATGCATGTTGTTCATGTAGTTTGTATTTGAACTTCAAACCTATGTTATTTCTTTATATGAAATGTTACAATGATACAAGTAATGAGTTGTGCATTAGGACAGTCGTGTTTTGCTTGATGAAGACATTGGCTGCTAAGGTAGATTGACAGATGTAAACCACTAGCTCAAGCAGGCTCAGGCACATTCAAAGTAGAAAATTTTTTAATTCTCTGTGCTGCCATAGAGATTTATCTGTTGAGATTATTTTCAGATACTGCTTTTTCATTTGTAAAGCAATACATTTTTATACCGAAAGACTGGTATGTGATAAAAAAAAACAAAAAACTGTTCTTTCAAGTGAGCTGTTAAGTCTTTTAGTTATGGAGAAACTGAAGAAATGTTGTTCCTTCAGCCAGATCCTAGGGAACTACTTATTTTGAAGCACACCAATAAAAAATATATCATGAATCAGATGGTTTGGGTTTCTTACATCTCTCCCCAGTCAGCAGCCTGGTAGTGTTATTTTATTTTCTCCCTAGGGTAGAAGGCAGATTTTACTTTGTTTCATGCTTGCTTTTTCAGGGCTAGGAATTGCAAACATTATGATATACTTCCCACAAGGATGGGGGTACATACCTGATGAAGTGGAAATAGTATCAGCTTGTGGATGTCAGAAACAGTTGGAGAAGATCATGAATTTCACAAGTGAGGTTAATGTGAGGATTCCCAGGCTTCTGGTAGTACTTACACAAAGGCACAGTTAAATTTATCAAATGAACAAGCACTCTGACTTTGTCAGTTTAGAAGCAGCATAGAATCCTGAAGTTAAATTTTTCACTCATTTTGTTAGGTTATTTCAGTTATGCATGATGAAATGAAACTGCAGATTGGTAAGATGGCAAAATCCAAATGGTTTAGGAATAGAAGGTCAACAAAGCATTTCAAGTTACTCTTCATTGATATGTAACTGTCCCTTTATCTGTATCTATAGCATTTTCTTAAAAAAAACCCTGTACTTTGTCAGTTATTCCAGTATGCCAAATTTCAGGCGTATAAAACTCACTAAATGTGTTCTGCTCATGTTTGATTTTCAGTACTTCTGTATTTGCCAATTATTCGAAACATATGGAGCTCATATTAAACATCAGTAATTTAAAACGTTAAATTTTATGGCTTTGCATGTATCTGTCATAAGAAAAGGAAAATAAAAGTAGTGTCTTAACTTCTGAAAATATGTACACATATCCCAGTATCATCTTCATGTTTTTTCAGGTGTCAGAACTCCTGGTACCACAGGAATCATCTTAAAAGTGGGAGATTAGCAGTAAACTTCTAATAAAATACTGGGTTTTAACATTTTAATATTTATTTATAGCAAGAATTGGTTCTTAGTCTTTTGTTTAGGAAACAGGTTCTTTCCTAAAGGCATGTTTTCTTTGCTGATGGCAAGTAAATCAGTTTATGGGAAGAAATTTTTTAGTTTCTCCCCATTGAGAGAAAGTGCTCTTTAATTTGGTAATTAGGAAAAGGAAATTGAAATCGCCTAAGATACTCTAAAGATGGACCTGGAAAATGTCCGAGGTTATGGCAAAGACAGAACGGGTCTTTGTGGTGGGGTGATGCATAGTGTAGGGGATTTGAATACAGGACTAGGGTACATTTCTGAGTAAAGCAAGCATTAGTGCTTTTGCTGTTTGAGAGCAGTGTTCAACTGCCCAGCAGCAGGGCTTTACTCAATTTTTGTCAAGGTATTTTGAAGTTCAGAATCCTTAGATGTGTTTTAGTTTGCTTTGGATATGATCCTTTAGTCTTTGTGTACTTGAGCACCACAAAAGTTGGGCTGGATAATAGTAATAGTCAATGGATTGCTGTTTGATTATAGTAATAATTCTCCTTACAAGATTTTATGCAATTTTTGAGTTGTTATTTAAGAAAATCATGTTGTTGACTTGATCAAATTAATTTCTGTTCATGCCATTATTTTCTCAGTTGCTTGTACTGTGATACCATGGGTGAAAAATGTGGAAAAGGGCAGTTTTGCTTTCCCCTCAGTCCCCCAAATTCTGGAGGGTTTCTTGAAAAAATTGGACTCCTTCACTTGCCATGTTTATTAGTCTGGCACCAGGCTCACTGCTGCAGTTTGTGCTGCTCATATCACACATGTTTGGAGGTATGTGGAATAATGGCTATTACTAATGGTAGAACCTACTTCTGTGGCAGCAGCAGCTTCTGTTTCCCCTCTCTACAGAGCTGCTTGCTTTGGAAGGTCTAACTAATATTAAAAACACATAAGCCCCCACCAAACCCCATAAAACCACCCTCCCACCCCCAAAACCACTGCAGCCAAGCCTCAAACAAAAAACGAAAACAATAACAAAAAAAAAAAACACCAACCAGCCAACCAAACAAACACACACAAAAAAAAAAACAACCCGAGCTGAAAAGTCTAATTTGTGGAGGGGGTGGGTACATGACTGGAAGAAGCCAGGTGGGAGCGGTTGGCTGGGCTTGGAGCAGATGTGTCCACTTACTCTTGGCAGAAGTACTGCAGGAAGAAAGCTCTATTAGTACAAAGCAAGGAGAGCCCGTGATTTGACCTCCTCTGTACTTAAAACAGTGTTTGGAAATTAACTTTTCTTGTATGGAAGTTCAGGAGGAGACTTCTATGACTTGCTCTAACCAGATGTTACTTTGCTGTTAATGTGTGTCTCTTCACTAGAGTTAGTTTTCCTAGAATTATGTAGCTATTTGAGTATTGCTCAACTTTCCTTTGTAAAGAAAGTGTGACCTTGTTAGACCATGTTTTAGGAATAATTAGAGTTTAATCCTCTTGGATAGAATATATAGAGTATCTTTTATAGTTTTATCATCTATAGTGGGGATTTTTAGGAGCCTTCTGAAAGAGAGGGATGTTTCTGTGCTTGAAAATTTTATGTACAAGCACATATATACATATGCAAAATTCTGTATACATGCATTAAATATATGTGCCTATGAGTGTGACATAACGTGTGAGGGAGGTAATCCTCCTTCTCTGCTCAGCTCTTTTGAGGCCTCACCTGGGTAGTGTGTCTAGTCCTAGGCTCCCCACTACAAGAGAGCAAGTCCAGCAAAGGGCTTCCAGAATGATTAAGGATCTGGAGCATCTTACAGGAGGAAAGGCTGAGGGAGCTGGGCCTGTTCAGCCTAGGAAAGAGAAGACTCAGGGGATTTGATAAATGTGTATCTGAAGGGAAGATGTCAGGAGGATAGATCCAGACTCTTCTTGGTGCTACCAGGTGATAGGACAAGAGGCATTGGGCAGAAATAAAAACACAGGGAGCTCCAGCTGAACATGAGGAAGAACTTCTTTGCTGTGAGGGTGACTGAGCATTGGAACAGATTGTCCAGAGAGCTTGGGGAGCCTCCTTTCCTGGAGATAGCAAGAGCCATCTGGATGCAATGTGCTCTAGGTGACCGTCCTTGAGCAGGAAGGTTGGACTAGATGACCCCTGGTGGTCCATTCCATCGTCAGTCATTCTGTGTATATTTTATAAATAGCATGCTGAAAGAATAAAAAAATAAATGAAAGGGGGAAATCTCCAGGGCAGATATATCAGATTAATTCCTCGAGCCTCATTGGTTTCCAAGTCAGCTCTCTATATTTACTTCTGTTTGATGCCCACTACTTAAAGTGCAGGAATTTCTGTTTTGTTTGGAGGGCAGAAACCCTTATGGATAATTTAAAAAATATTTCTTTTGTGAAGTTAATTGTTTTTTATTTGTTTTCAGGAAATGGCTCTTGAAGTTAAATGAGGCTGGATAAACACATAAATGAAGCAGAAGTTGCTCTGCATGTGTTAGGGCTATATCACCACAAGCACTGCTGATCAGCCAAACTTGGTAACTTGTCATAATGAAGAAAATTAGTCTCAAAACAATTCGCAAGTCCTTTAACTTAAATAAAAGTAAAGATGAAAGCGACTTTGTAGTGGTTCAGCAGCCGTCATTAAGTGAATTTGGAAAAGATGACTCCTTGTTTGGCAGCTGCTATGGTAAAGATTTGGCTAGCTGTGAAGTCAATAGTGAAGATGAAAAAGGAGGCAAAAATAGATCAAAAAGTGAAAGTTTAATGGGTACGTTAAAAAGGAGGCTTTCAGCAAAACAAAAACAGAAAGGCAAAGGCAGCACACCATCTGTAAGCTCTGCAGATGATGACACCTTTTCTTCCTCATCTGCTCCAATAAGTTTCAAAGATGTGCGAGCTCAAAGACCTCTGAGATCCACTTCTCTCCGTAATCACCATTACAGTCCAACTCCGTGGCCCCTTCGACCTACAAATTCAGAAGAGACTTGCATCAAAATGGAAGTCAAAGTCAAGGCCTTGGTCCATTCCTCTAATCCAAGCCCAGCACTGAATGGTGTTCGAAAGGACTTTCACGACTTGCAGTCAGACAACGTGTTCCAGGAACAAAACAGTGTGTTAAAAAATACAGAATCTCAGAATGGGGACTTGCATCTTCATATTGATGAACATGTGCCTGTAGTTATTGGATTAATGCCTCAGGACTACATTCAGTATACTGTGCCTTTAGATGAGGGAATGTATCCTTTGGAAGGATCACGTAGTTACTGTCTGGATAGTTCCTCACCCATGGAAGTTTCAACTGTGTCTTCTCAAGTGGGGGGAAATGCTTTCCATGAAGAAGAGAGCCAAGTGGATCAGGATGTAGTCGTTGCACCGGATATCTTTGTGGACCAGACGGTGAATGGTTTGTTGATTGGTACCACAGGAGTCATGTTACAAAGTCCAAGAGTTAATCACAGTGATGTCCCTCCACTCTCACCTTTGCTACCTCCAATGCAGAATAATCAAATCCAAAGGAACTTCAATGGATTGAATGGCACAGATGCCCATGTGGCTGAAAGTATGCGCTGCCATTTGAATTTTGATCCTAACACTGCCCCAGGAGTTGGAAGAGTTTATGATTCTGTACAGAACAGTGGTCCTATGGTTGTGACAAGTCTCACAGAAGAACTGAAAAAACTTGCAAAACAAGGATGGTACTGGGGCCCCATTACACGTTGGGAGGCAGAGGGAAAATTAGCTAATGTGCCTGATGGCTCGTTTCTCGTTCGAGATAGTTCTGATGATCGTTACCTTTTAAGTTTGAGTTTTCGTTCCCATGGAAAAACTCTTCACACTAGAATTGAACACTCAAATGGTAGGTTTAGCTTTTATGAACAGCCAGATGTGGAGGGACATACATCTATAGTTGACTTAATTGAACATTCAATCAGGGACTCTGAAAATGGAGCTTTCTGCTATTCGAGATCTCGCCTGCCTGGATCTGCAACTTACCCAGTGAGACTGACAAATCCAGTATCTCGGTTTATGCAGGTGCGTTCTTTACAATACCTGTGTCGTTTTGTAATACGTCAGTACACAAGAATAGACCTGATTCAGAAACTGCCTTTGCCAAACAAAATGAAGGATTATTTACAGGAAAAGCACTACTGAAAGCTTACGGGAATCATGCATCTTGCACTTTGGGAACGACAACAACAAAAAGAGATTGAATTACAGTTTACAGACTTTCATTGCTATCAAAATCTTTTGCTGCCATAAAAATATTTCATTTTTGTGTGTAAAAGAGAAGTAATGCATTTGGATTTATGTTTGTTTTGGGGGGGTTGTGTATTATTTTGGGGGGCTTTTTTTTTTCAAGAATGATCTCAAGTTTATTTTTAGAAGTGTGAAATAGCTATCTTTCATCAATGTGCAGATTAATCACAATGTGAATGATCAGATTCTCCTTAATTTCCCCCAAGTCCTTTGCTGCTATCCACTGTGATTTTTATGCATTGAAAGCACATTTCATGTGTATTCAACAATAAGTAAAACTCAAATGAAACTTATTCAATGGATTTCCCCCCCCCCCCTGCTTTAAGATAGCCTATTTGAAAAAAAAGATCATGGATAAAAAAAACATACTGGTATTCTAAATTACAGAATTTACACCTATGTTAAAAACAATTCCCCAGTATCCTAATTATGAATTTCTATAAGATATGCCCTAATACAGAACTTACAGTGAGAGCTGTGTGATAAGAACATAGTTATGCAGCATATCTTTGGGAAAAAAAAAAAACACCTTTCTCCTCAGCCTTGTATTGTCTATACTTTTGTGTTTGAGAAGGTTAGTTCAGCTGCCTTTTTGTCTCGGTGTTCTGTCCTTCTAAAAATGGCCTTTTAAAAAAGTCAATGTGTAGTACCTATAAGGAAATGGCAGTATTTTGGTCTTGTCAAATATTACCTTTAAAATCATGCCCTAAGTTAAATAAATGAACATCTACCAGGTCCCCATCTTTTTTGTCCTTTTCCCTCCTACCCCCTGTTGGGGGGGGGGGGGTGTCTCAATTTTTTTGAAAGTTTCTAGGAATTGTTATCATGGGAATATAAATTGATAAGCCATTGCATGGAATGGGGGAAAACTTCTAATAGGATTATTTCTACAATATATATTCAAGCTATTTGAAATTTTATCATTTTCTGCATTTTTTTCATTTTGGAAATGCAGTAATACACTAATATCCTTTGGATAATTTTCTCCTTTTTTTTTTTTTTCTTATATATCCTTTGGGGAGGAAGGACCAGGACATGACATTTTAGATGGAAGATGTTTAAAATGCATCTCTCAATCTCTATTCTCATAGCCTTTCAGATTATAAAACATATGAACACTAACCCTGACCACAGAAAATGTCTGAGTCTATTGTCATAAAATATGTTTTGACATATGAAATATTGAATCAGTTAAGTAAATGTTTATGATATTTGTCAAAAATTCTGGCATTGGAAAGCTCACAGTTATTGTGACCTTCTGTAGGGAAAGACGTTCAGTGGGGATTACATGTTCTACACTGTAATATTTTTGTCATGCAAGGTTAATCCATGGCATTTTTCTGTTTTGCTTCAGGTTTCTTCCTCATCCCCTTCCCTGCCAATGAGTCTATCAGTTTTACTTGTTATTTGTTAAAGGGGTCATAACCTGGGAGGGAGGCTTGCTTTGCCTGTGCCTGCCCCATTTTTTATTTTAGAATGTCATCTTCCCCATCCTTGGTAGGAGTGTCTAGTCATTAAACATCAGTTTAGAAGAGGCTGTTCATCTTTGATAGCGCTTTCTTGTTTAGGTCATTTCTTTTCTTTGTTTTGCCTGGCCTTTTGTCCCCTGAAATAAGTCTTTAGTAATGAATACAGTATTGCTGCAAGGTGGTGCAGTAGCACTACATCTTGGGTTGCCTGAATTGATAGACTAAATTTATATTTTTTTAATTTATTTTTTGACCATAATGTTTAACTAAAAACTAAAAAAAAAAAAAAAAGAAAATCAGAGGTAGAGAAAGGATGCCTTTGCTTTTAAGGGAGGGAGAATAAGGATTTCTTCTTTAGTCTGATAAAGTTTTAAACTTAAAAAGAAAAAAATCTAGAGCAGTCTATATGTGTGATTTGTTGGCTCTGCCATTGAGATGTATGTATGAAAGTGTGAATTGTGTTTTCTTTTTTTTCCTCTACTGATTTGCCCTTAACCCTGTCACTGAATCAGGATCACAAACTTTATTCAGAAAGGCACAATAACCTATTGTATGGTACAGTATTCTGATTCTGGCTGTGAGGAGGAAAAAGAAAATAATTTTTATGGATTTCAGACACATACTTTTGAAGAAAAACTCTGGCATTTTCTTCACTTTAAAAATTCTTTCCCCATACAAGCTAGAGGGCCTATGCATTCTACAGAATCTTTGAAAGATTATAGTATATTAAATATTTTCTTTGCCATTTAATACCACTGTTGAATACATTAAACCTGTTTATATTATGCCACATACATTAATTTAGCAGTCACTGCATTAAAACTTAAATATTTGAAGCTGTAATATCCTTGTCTTATTGCTGAATTGAAAAACGTGCAAGAACACACATGCTAAATTTTTGCCCATGCCTTTATAAATTTCTTTTTTTTTCACTCATACAAGTTGATGCCTTTTTTAATAAACAAACAAAACAGAAAACAAAAACAACACACTTAGGTTCAGCTGTCCAGTTCTATAATTGCTTTCCTTGCTGTGTTCTTCATCTGTGAACTTCTTCAGGTCAAGTTTAACTTTGTCATCCCGCCCGCAGGCTTCCACAAAAGGAACAGTGTAAAGTGGTTTAGACCTAGAATGTGAGAGCCATGTAGCACATTGCTTCTAAATAAAAATTGGGGGTGATATTTCTACTAAGCTCAAGCTACTTTAAATCAGTAGTAAGTAGACACAAATACTTATTTTTACAGGTTTCTTTAATCAGGACCTTGCAGGTTGTTTGGGTTGTTTTTTCATACTGAGGTTAACTGGCCAGCCAGGAGAAGGAACCCAGAAAAATTATGTTGAAAACATTAAAGATACTTACAATTTCTTATAAGAAACATTAATATAAAAGTAACTAATTTAGTTATGAGACAATTTAGAAGTTCTCAGAGTAACCATAAAAATTGTGTTGACTTCTCCTTCATGAAAATTAGGGGAACAAAGTGTCCTTGATAAATAAAAAGAAAGAGATTGAGGATATTTTGGGGACCTTTGGAAGCAGATACACTAGGAATAAAAGCTAACTGACTGTGATCCTTACAGAGGAGAAAAATGGCTATTTATGCAGCACAACAGTTTAAGGGTTCAAACGCAATTGAATTGTGGAAAAATGTTTTGAAAATGAAGCTTTGGAATAAAGCTCCTTCTTTTGCGTATCTGGATTGATGTTATTAATAACATTGTTTTACCAGTTAGAATAAAACAACACTTTATATTTGGAAATAGAAAAATAAATTTGCACAACTCATGTGTGGGTTTGGTTTTTGTTTTGTTTTTTTTTTTTGTAAGCCAGTGTTACAAACACCTGAAAGTGATTTGTATTCTTTGATCTATTTGAAGGATATAGCACTTATCCTGCTGTTGATGTAGTGAATGCCATCTTTTTATCAAAATGTTTTTCTGTCAGACGGATCAGAAATGCAATTATTAATTAAACTCTTTGTTTTCAGATGAGCTGACTTTGCATTTTGGTAAAGCCAAATTCTTTCTGTGGCTATTGACTGCTGAGCTAAGTGAAAGCTGTGCAGGTTTTGTTTTGATGCATTTCATCTATGTGAGTACTGGAATTATAAATTTAAAACAGCATACCAGCAATATATGGGCTATGATTCTGATAAGAAGTATTTTTCTGTTACTCAACTTTCAAATTGTGAGCTAAGCTATGGCTAAATTAATGATTGCCAACTCAATTTCTTAAAATCTTTTTATGACTGCAGAGAACATAATTTACAAGCGTTCTTTATAAACAAAAAATGGGCTAGATGGTAGTTCATAATATGGAAAATATGGCATTGTTGTATCTGGAAAGTGTTCTAAATTCTACACAGATAATGAAAAATTCTTAAAGAATTTTATATGATTACCTGTTGGGTTAAAGAATTTTTATAGTGATGATGGAGTGCCACGAAGTTAATACTTGCAATCCAGATTGCTGTAGTTTACACTTTTCTCTGCTTCAGACCTGGTGTGCACTATTTGTACTAAGCACACCACAGAGTGAATTATCCAAAGTCCATTGATTTTAATGTGTTTTGGTTTGTAAACAAAATTAAAGTAATTTCTTGCACATTTTTGAAAAATAATTGTATAAGGATTTATGTATCTGCTTCTGGATACAGTGTGTAAATAAAAATTTCATTCACAAAAACATTTGTGGAGTGTTATATACCTTAATGACATTCTAAACCAAAAAATATAAAGTGACATTGTGAAGTCTGGGCATCTGACAAACATTTACATTTTAATGGTTACAGTTTAAATTGTTACATATTTTTAGCCCTTGCTAGCTGACTATTCAGTATTTCTGTTATACCAATTGTATTAATTTCTACTTTTCAAAGCAAGAAAAAAAAAAAAAGACCAGGAAATAATTACACTATTACTAACGTAAAGTCTCAGTTTCATCCAGATGTATGTTAAATGTAGTATACCATCTGTTGTCTTCCATGCAAGCGAATAGCACTTATGTAGTTTAAAATAATAATTTTATATATATATATATATATATATATATATATATATATATGTATATATGGTGGTGTTCTTCATATATTCCTGTGATGCTCTCCTGGATTCATTTTAAAAAGACAGTGGTATTTTAAACCCTGGGAGATCACACAAATAAACCAGAAGATCAAGGATAAACTATTTCTGTCTTACAGAAGATATGTACAACTGTTCACATTTTCATCTAGTTGGGACTTAAAGATTCACTACTCAAGGTCAAGAAAATACCAACAGCTCCTTATAACTGGTTTGTTTGTTTGCTTTCAATAAGCAAAACCCCCAGCCTTGGTAGCAAGTAATTGTTGTTCGTATTGTCCATAGCTGATAAGTACTTTTCTACTATATTCTCTAACTTAAGTCCTAAACCAGTGACCAGAAATAATTCATAGCGTTTGCCATTCAAGAGAAAACCTCTTTCTCCTATTTCCTACTGCTGGGACTAGCATTTCATGCTCAGTATGGTGTGAGGTTTTTCCGCCAGTACGTGGGGGATCTTGCTGGGGTTTTGTTACTAAATATGAATGATGGTCTTTACATTTGTTCTGTTCACTCCAGAAAATATGACAAAAATGAAACTTGCCCTCAGATGTTTCCTTGTCAAATGGAAAAAGGTAAGAGTTAATTTTACAGCTGCATGTAAAGTTAGCATGATCCAGGCTGGGCTGAAATGTTTGTAATCAAGATGCCTATAATCCTAATTATTTCTGCCTCACATCCAATCAGCTTCATAGCTGTGAGAGTAGAAGAGAAACATGAAGACACTACCAGATGCAGAAAGCTTGCTGTATGTCTGATAACGTAACCCTTGTAACAAGTCAGGGCTTGGCAGTTGGGGGATTGAATTAAGTCATCCTCCACAATTAAAACAAGACCTCAAAGATTACAAAGGTGTAAGATCTAGTAGAAATCCTTAATATTCCAGAAACAATGTTCGATCACTTCTGTATTTATATAGAAATTGCTTGCAATCTGTGCTTTTCTCTTTTTCTTTCAAAGGGTAATGTTCAGCCAAGCATTTTAGTATCTTTTGTAATGGTAGTATGTGCATCTTTGACATTTCTGGTAAGGTAATACCTACTTTTTTCCTGTCAAAGCCATGTGAGGTAGGAATAGGATATTGTAGGGAGTGGAGACAGTGGTTATTTGTTTGGTTTTTGAGGAATGACTCAGAGATAGGAGGTGTTGTTTCTCCTGAGACAGGAGGCTGTCATTTTCTCAGGCTA